TTGGCCCAGGATTTCGCCCACTCTTGGTATGCCATAACTTTCACTATCTCTGTAGGTGTCTTCTTGGCTTGTTGTTCACCGCATATTTGTTATGAATCTACTTATTGGCAGATTTTCGAAGCTGTTAAGCTGCAGAGGTCGAGTCGATTTCGACGCAGACAAATTATCGAAGTTTCGAGGCTACGAAGTTACGAGGTTACGAAGATGCGAAGATACGAATGTGCGAAGGTCGAATTGATTACGAGAAGACAAATGAAGGTGATCGAGGCTCGGATTATCAAAGTTACAAATTCATATGTTCAGATTATCATATTATCAAAATATCGAGTTCCCAATAAGCAAATTATACAATAAACAAAAAGTTGTTAGAACTAGAGAACCAATTCCAATTTCCAGTCTGAAAAAATCTAAATCCCGTTGCCTCAGCCCTAACCAAATGAAGAAAGTGCCCCTGCGCCACCACATCCAGATTATACCAAACAAATTTATAACAATATTCCCGTCCAGTTGGTAAGATCTATCCTCCTGTTGACTGTTCGTATATCTTCTCTCCCTTTTCTGGGCAGCTTGATTTTACTACAGGCGGACTGGATTGTCTTCTGGACAGGTAAGTCCTTTGAGCGACCTAAATATTGAAGCTTTTGTTGCTTCAAGATTATTTCGATCGGAAGGGTGGCTGTTTCGTGTTCCACCACTCTCGTGCTCGTAGACTTGTATGCCCCGGTGACAATTTTGAGATAATTCCTCTGTATACTTCTGAGAGGTCTTACTATCCTTTCCGGTATTTTTCCACCCGGCCCGACCTCAGCCCAAATTGATGACCCGTATGTTAGTGCCGGCCTCACAATCTTGCTGTAGAGTATCTTTGACTTGTGAGATGTGGCACCCCACGTTGATTGAACTAGCCCACTGAGACCCTGAACCTGTATCTCTTCCTTCAGTTGAAGGCTCTTGATGTGAGCTCCCCAGCTCAGCTTGGGATCAAAGTAGATTTCGAGAACTCGTAGGGAAGGCTGTGGGACTGAGTTATGGCCTTGGATTTCAATTGTCGCTTTGAGGTCGCGTCGTTTCCTAGCTCGGGAGAAATGCATCAGCTGATACTTTTCAAGCGCAAATCTGACCCTATATCTTCGTGCCCACTGTTCACTTATTTGGTGTTTTTCCTCCAACTTTCGGCAGTTTTCTTCGGTCGAGTTTGACCATGTCAGCATTTTTTTGTCATCTACAAATCTAACTGCTGTCGTAGTTTTTGTCTCGAGCATCGGGAGAAGTGTGCTAACAAAAAAGAGAAAGAGTATTGGCGAGAGAGCCGAGCCTTGCGGTATCCTGGTGCTGGTAGACATTCGGTCCCCTTTGAATAATTCCAAGATTAATGATGTTGTTCTCTCTTCGAGGAAGAACATTATGTATAGGCTCATCCACTTTGGAATTCTTTTTTCCCTGAGATTGTAAATGAGTCGTTCGTGTGACACATTATCAAAGGCCCTATATATATCCAAGCTGAGGAGAGATGCCACCCTCTTTTTATTTTTGCCCCAGGTTGTGTGTATCTATTTTTCCAGTAGCTCGACTACAGATATTGTAGATCTCTGTGGTTGAGCTCCCATCTGTTTATCAGGAAGGAGGTTGTGGTGTTCTGCTGCTTTGGAGAGGCGACCTGCCACCAGCTTTTCGTGGATTTTACCCAAATTATTGAGGAGCGCAATTGGTCTATAAGCCTTTGGAGCATTGTATCTGTTGGTACAACGGGGTTCACTTGGTTCAATGTCTCAAAAGTGCTATAAACAAGTGGTATAATTCTATCTATTCTTCCCTCTTCTCTTTCCTCAAGCACTAATATCTAAATTACAAATTGGAGCTTGGCGCCCGAGCCAAGTCACGTGATACATTGACTAATCTTTACAGAAGTACATATCCAAGTCAAGCCATTTATCCGAACGCCATTCACCTCCGAACGCCATTCACCTATGAACTGTTACGGGCTGTGCCCGGATTGGGACTGGTCACTAGGACCAACTCGGCTAGATCTTTAAGCGCCAACAAAGCAGCGCTTACAGAGACGCGAAAGGTTGCATGGGGAAGAATGCAAGGATACGCACAAAGAGGGATCTAAGTGTCGCATAAGGATTAATGCAAGGTTGCGCACAAGAACGAGTCTCAGTGTTGCATAAGGATAATTGCAAGGTTGCGCATGAGGAAGGACCCAAGGGAGTACGTACTTAGGGGGGGAGGATGTCACAGGAAAGAGGGTAGCCAGGGAGAATGGAGTATTCTCAGGTAGGCTAGGAGGGGAGCTTAAACGCGACGCTAAGGAGGACATAAAGGACAGGAGCCATCGTAGGCAGATTAGCTTCCTAAGGAAAAATTATCAATTCCTATTGAGTTAACGTCTTTCAAGTACTTCTGAATTCTTTAAACCCTTTACATGAACCGACAGTATCCGAGCTTTTGAGGCTTCCTCAAAACAATAGTAGTTGATTCTTTATACCATTTTGGATGATAGCCTATTGTGAGGCAAGTATTGAAAAGGATAGTGAGTAATTTACTCAAGGTTTTCCTACATTGCTTTAGAACTCTGTTAGGTATTCTATCTGGACCGGAAGCTTTATTGTTCGGCAATGTTTTGATAACCCTATCGACTTCTTCTTCAGTGATAGTACATGAGATTGAGTCGATTTCTTTAGGGTATCTTGTACCCGCGATATCATTGATGTCTGCTTGAGCAGGTTTTGGAAAGAAGTGGCCTGCCATGATCATGACCTTTTCCTTGTCTTCTGTGGCGGTATATCCATCATTACCTTTAATGTCGGGGATTAGAGCTGGCATGCCATTATCTTCAGAACTTCCCCTCGCCCACTTTGCCAGCTTCCAGATTTTGGTTGGGTCTTCTGTTGCTTTGGATACAATTGCTCTCCATCCTACGGTTTTAGCTCTTTTAATTGTACCTTTTTTCTGGTTTGTCACCTTTTGATATTTAGTCCAGTTTTCTTTGTTGCAGGTATGGGTCCACTTTCTTCTTGCCATTCTAGCAGCTTTAACCGCTACCGAGCATTCCTTGGTCCAGTCTGGTTTGGAGTACTGAGATGGCACTGCTCGAGGTATTATTTCCTCAATTGTCTGCTGAATTGATTTGGAGATTTTCGTGACTCTATGGTCAATGGCTAGATGGGAGTCGAGGAGATTAGTTTCCGTTGTCTGTTGAAGAATAGCAGCGAGCCTTATGTTGAAGGCCTCCTAGTCTACCCTCTTCCACTGTAGCTGTAGTTCCGATGTTGTCTATGTGATTGGCTGTATACACAGTTGAGTGCTGATAGAGATATGATCGGAAGATGACTCGAGGTTGTTGGCATGCAATGATGGTATTTTCAAGTTCCTTTGAGATGAAGGTTAGGTCAATAGTGCTTTGACTCCCTCTGCTTTTTCAAGTAATTGTTCCTTCCGACAGTATTAATTCCATATTAGTCTCATGTAGGATTTCCAAAAGTGTTTTCGAAGATTTATGGTGTGTTGTAGTTGCCTGGCCTCCCCACCTTGGGTAGTGTAGGATGAAGTCTCCAACCAGAACGTGTTGGCCGTCTCGTGCTATCATTTGGGAAAATATTGTAGCGTCTCTGATGGAAATACAGTTTCCTGCTTTTCTTTCTATCGACCAATGTGGCTGCATGCATCTTGCCTGAACTACATTTCTGAGGTCAGGCAGGATCCCACACTTCTGATTCAATCGGACTCAACGTTAGAGTCTGCTTGAATCCCATTCTTCCCGAACAAATCCAGTCATTGGATTGTTCGTATTTCTATTGCATGACTCAGTATTCTGAGTCAGTGGATAATTAATTTCTGGTCTAGGGTCCCACTTATTTCTGCAGTTGAGTCGGTTCCGGATAACCTCTTTCTTGTAATTCCACTGTATATATCATAATACCTGTAGTCTATTAGTCAATTAAGCAAACTGAAATTCTTCTCCGTTCTCAGGCAATTCTTACTCCGAAGTCTTCTCTATACTCTAACACTTCTCACCTCACAAGCACTTCGAATACCCGAAAACCTTCAACCTCTTTAAATTGACATACCTCCCACCTCATCATCTCTATATTCAAACTCTCCGGATATATTTACTTCTATCTCTACCCATCGATCTTTAATTACCTCTTCCCGACGGTGTTAAAACAGATCCATTTCCACTCAAAATAATAAAATTACCGGAATAATGGTTGATGCTAAAGAGGAAAATTGGGATACAAGAGACTTTGACATTCAAATTCCAACAAAAGCCGAACGAGACTCTTGGTTGAAATATTGTATTAACAAATATATCAGAAGTCCTCTTACAAACTATGACATGTGGGATGTGTTGAAATATGATATATCTTCGAATGCCAAGAATAACTTATTAGTAAGTCCGGCTAATTTGACTATCAAATTCCCCATTCTATATCACTGTTATCAATACATCATTCACCGAAAGTTTAATGCGCATTAGCGTTTATTTCACACTAGCATTCTAGCGGATGACTATGTCTCAAATGCAGGTTATAGTTTTATTGTATCTATTACCGACACACATGTATTTAGCTTTATATTCCTGACCCATATATGTGTATGTACATAGATCTACATCTACATGGATCATAACTTACGATCCATGGAGATTGATAAATACTGGTCAAAAACCACAGTTGATAAGATATGCGAACACGCAATCTCACTCTTATCATCTCGGTTTTTACTCTGAACCATACATCTAAATACAATTGTTTCCACTCGGATCTTCCTCTCACTACCTCATACAAGACTTACTGCATCGGTCTAACCGCCAACACTGATTCTGCTACAACCTCCATCTTCGCTCAAGCTCATAACTTTAACAGGATGTGTTCCGCATCCACTTTGATGGTTGGAATCTTGGGCACTTTCATTGTGTAAATGCCGTGCGAGTATCCTCTCTCCGTGCTGAACTCCGCCACCACGGTGTTTGGGTTGATGTTTCTTGCAGCACTAATATGAACAAGGCTCTTGTTGCTTGCCTCGGTGAATCTGAACCCCATGAATGGACGAGAGAGGAAACTATTGCAGTTCAGAACCACACTGGTTTGCTATCGCATACCCTGCTCCAAAAACTTCGTAACAATTGGAAACCATACTCTGGCAATAAGGAACAATCTGAACAACACGACACAAATTCTTCAACTCGTCCTGAACGTGATTCAACAACACAGGTCTGCGTTAATATAGCCAAACTTTATTCCTCAAATGATCAGAAGTATGGAGGCAATACCGACTGTTTCGAATATAAGTTAAATATCTTCAACATGTATTGCTCGCAATTGAACATTTCAAACAACGAAATAAAGGCAAAGGCATTTCCACAAATGCTTAAAGGCACAGCTTTCCAATTTTACGTTACCATCACGACAAATCAAGTAATTGTCCCAACATTTGTTCAAATATGCGACGTGATTCGATCTTATTTTGAAATAGATGAGTGGAAGCGTGCTAGATTAACTGAATTCAATAGTACAACACTTAAAAAGGTCATTTCAAATAATCCGACCAAGTCTCTCAAAGATAGCATGGATATTCTTGTGGACAAACTTCAGCAACTGCAACTCGGCCTAGCTTCTCCATTCAGAACGGACTCACTCCTTTGTCAGACGCTAATTCTTGCATGCGCTCCAGTCGAGGCATGCCAGTTTGCATGCATAAAACCTTCTCCCACATTTCCCGGTCTCATCAGTGAACTAAAGGGTGCTGTAGATATCTGGCAAGCAGCGCATCCCAATTCCCATCCGCAGCAAGAAGTATTTACCAATCAAATTGATACTTTTTCTCCGTCCGACCCGGGAAATGAGTTTGTAGATGAAGTTGATGTTGATGTTTTCTACATAGATCGCACCTATCACGGCAATCGTGGCCGCAACGAAAACCTACGCTTTGGCCGCAGAAATAGCCAACTCGGTCGCGCTCAGCAATACCAGCAAAGTACAAACCCACACTTCCAAAGTCAAAATTATCTTTGTTGGCAATGCCCCAAAACCTGTTTTGTATGCAAGAAGCCAGGATGCTGGTCAACTAAACATACCGAGGCAGAGCGTGCTGATACAAAACGCAAGTATTTGCAGCAACTTGGCCAAAGATTTGATAATAATGCCCGACAGTACATTCTAAGCATTGAAGGAACTGAAGATGAACATGATTTCAATGATTTTGAATCATTCATGACAGAACTTAACTTGGATGATAATGACAATCGAATCAAGAATGTCGCTTTACACATGGTTTCTACAATGTCTAACAACTCTACATACCATGCAATTACTCATACAATACCCGCTAATAATCCAAATCCGCTCACATATACCATCATAGATAAACACTCCTGTTACTCATCTGCAGAATTTTACGGAATCATGATTTATGCTGGCTCTTCAACAGTATCTACAAGTGGGTATGGCCAATTTCTTGCATATAAGAGGAGAATCAAAAATGCAGCAACCATTGATATAAGAACTGCCGGATCCGTCAATGTTCAATTTGGCATTGGATTGACCTCGACAATAGGCTCTTTGGTGATTTATACCCCCATTGGCCCGTGGTCTTTCATATAGTCAACGTTGATATCCCTTTCTTGCTATGTCTTAAAGACCTTGACAATCGAGGAGTATACTATAACAATGTTAAAGATAAAGTAATGGGCCTTAATTCCTCGATTTGCGTGCAAATAATACGCCAATTTGGACATCCAATCCTTCTCTGGAAAGAGAGCCTGTTTCAGCATATCACATCATTGCTTGTCGATTCTTGCTATTTCACAACTCTAGAGTTAAATTGTTTACATCGGCGATTTGGACACCCGTCAGTTCAGAAGCTACATACTTTACTTGAACAATCAAGGCATAGCGTTGAGAAGAAAGCCCTAGAAGAACTAACCAAGCTTTTTCATTAGTGCCAAATAAATGCTAGAGCACCCAGCAGGTTCAAGTTTAATCTCCGTGATGATTCAGTACAATTTAACTCTAACATATACATTGATATAATGTACCTGGATATCGGCAACAGCAAGTCACCCGTTCTACATGTAATTGATGAAGCTACTACATTCGGCGCTACCAGATGGATAAAAGATGTCTCTGCAAAGACAACCTGGGATGCCCTACGCCTTTGTTGGATCGATGTTTATCAAGGCCCACCAGATCTAATCATGCATGATGCTGGAACTGCATTCACTAGTCAAGAATTTCGCCAAAACGCCGCAAATATGGCAGTATTGACAAAGTGTGTTCCAGTCGAGGCACATTGGAGTGTTGGAATGGTAGAACGCACTCATGCATCCCTCCGTCGCGTATACAGTGTCATTTCTGCAGATACTGGCGCCACTTGCGAACTATGCCTGCAAATTGCAGTCACGGCCTGCAATAATACGGCTGGATCAAATGGACTCATACCGACTTTACTAGTATTCAGTGCATATCCGCAAATGGCTGAAATCGACGCACCAGCACCGTCAATTTGACAGCGCGCACAAGCTATCCGTAAGGCCATGATAGAAGTGGCAAAGCTGCGCGCACAGAAACAGGTAAACAATGCGCTAAACACGCGCAATGGGGCCAACACCAATTCCATTCACAACTTACCATTGAACTTAGACGTTCTCGTATGGCGTGAACCTGGCCAATGGGAAGGACTATTCAAGCTATTAGGTCTTACCGGTGAAACTATCAAGCCGCTGCTGCACAGTGGCCCAACTGATTTTAGAACAACACATGTCAAACCCTACTACTCAGGCAATAATGCTGACAGTGTCCAAGAAGTTGAGGAAAATTTAGATGATGAACTTCATTCACATGATGAGGTTAACGCTCGCCTATCTCATCGCATACGCAAGTTACCAGCAAAGATACGCACATACGTTGTTAGTCAACCCTCTTTCTATGAATCACGGCTTAAAGAGGCACATGGATTACTCAAGCTCGGCGTATTTGAAGTGGCAGATGCAGTACCAGAAGGGGTGAGGATATTCGGAGCTCGATTTGTTGACGAAAACAAGAACTCAGTCACTGAGCAAGCATTCGAGAAGTCATGTCTCGTTGTGCAAGCTTTTGATGACCAAGATAAGAGCCGAGTTTTCACATAATCACCCACTATTCAAAGATCATCTCAACGCCTAATTCTAGCTCTTGCACCTACACTCAATGCAAAGGGATGTTCACTGTTCTTACGTGACATTACGTGACATTACGCAAGCATATGTTCAGTCTACAACTGAACTCAATCGATTATTCTGTATTCGGCCACCCCCCGAATTGTGCGAGATCCTGCACCTACCTAATAATGCAGTTCTGCGAGTTGTTAAACCCCTTTATGGCGTTCCAGAGTCCGGAAATTACTGGTTCACAACATACTATGGCCACCACATTGACAAACTCAGCATGGAAGTATCTACGTACGATCCATGTCTGTTGCACACCCGTAAGTTAGTAATGCTGCTACATGCAAACAACAGAATCAATACAATGCCAGAAAGACACAAAGATGAGGCTTTCAGTATAGTTGGCTTGTAAACCGATGACACTCTAGGTGTTTGAAATAAAACGTTCCTCAAAGCTGAACAAGAAAAGCTAAATGGTACATTCATGGCCAAAGAGCGTCAGATTCTTACAGTAAACAGCCCCCTCATATTTGACGGCGGTTCCATCAGGCTTGAACACGATGGATCAATTATACTGAATCAGAGTCGCCAATGTAAGAATCTTACATTGGTCAATTTAACCAATAAGGCCATTGACCTCAAAAGCTCTCGTGGCAGAATCAGGAAGGCAATTACACCAAAAGATCAATACGTTGCACAAAGAGCTCTTGGCGCGTACATCGCATCGATGTGCCAGCCTGAAGCTGCATTTGACCTATCATTTGCCGCACAAACTGTAAATCACACCGAGCAAGATGCCATCAAATTGAACAAGCGCATCCAGTGGCAGATCAATAACCACGAACGTGGACTGCAATTTGTCAGGCTAGAGAATACAATTTCTCTCGTTGTATACACTGATGGATCATTTGCCAACAATATCGACAATTCTAGTCAAATCAGATTTGTCATTGTATTAGCAGACACATCAGGCAATGCCAACATTGTTCACTGGTCGTCCATAAAGTGCAAACGGGTTACGCAATCAGTCCTAGCATCCGAACTATATGGAATGGCCCATGGGTTTGATTACATTGCTGTCATTAGATCAACCCTCGAACAGACTCTTGATGTTTACGGCATCACAAATCTGCCACTAATAGTTTGCACTGACTCGAAGTCATTGTATGACTACCTCGTGAAGCTTGGAAGCACTACTGAAAAGCGACTGATGGTTGATCTGATGTGTTTACGTCAATCATATGAGCGAAGGCTCATTGCAGAGATCAGATGAATTGAAGGGCTCAACAACCCTGCAGATGCTATGACTAAGGACAAACCTAACTTGGCACTTACACGTCTGATTGAAATAAATGAGGTGGATCTAACGGCATTAGAATGGGTTGAAAGACAAATTAATTTAAAAAAAAAGAGTTCTTAGGCAGATATGCAGACAACAATCTCATCTTCACTGTGGCTATTAGATGAACGTTGCTATCTACTGTTGCATATTGCATACGAACTCATGGCCCGAACCTCGTCTTATTGCACATCTCATCTCTCCTGCATTTCAACAAGATCTGTGCCGGAATTAATATTTTTGGAAAAGCATGAATGCAGATGAATTCTGGGGGATAGTTTAGATAGAATAGAGAGTTCCCAGTGTTTGGAGCCATAGTAGCCTATGGTATGTAGATAGCTTAGGCATCAAGGTTAAGCGTGGCGTGCACGGGCACCTACGTGAATACTGATATGGATCCCTCATCATGTAGATAGATTTGAGACAACCAATACACAACCATTTCACACCAGTATTCAAGCATATGCTAGAAACCGTAGCCACCGAGTGCTACCAACAGAAATATAGTGTCCTATGGTCTGAACTGACGTCAAGATCATATCAAATTTCGTCAGAAGATTTGGAGCACTCTTTGACAAAGCATAGGTCGAGAACAGAGCCTGCATCTTGAGTGGGTTTTCCATCATTGTTTAGTAAAAAGAGACCCTTTTTGGCTGCCCAAGCGAAGAGAGGTTCACTTCATGCGTCGTTTCACAGTTCAGGGTTCCAGAGCGAATGAGCGATGTTAAAATCTCCTGCTAAGATGTCTGGAGGCTGGTTAAGGGATAGCAGATTGGTAAGACCCGCTCCTGCTTCCACATAACTCATTGGAACGTTATAGAGGTTGAAAATTGTTGCAATCAGGTACACTTATAGATCACGCAACTTGAAATGGCTAGTATTAAGCAAGTGTAACCAACAAGACAAGCGATCCGGTGTCAATGATACGTCATCGGCACACAGCAATGAAAACACCAGTATCTCAGTCAAACATGATAATATGATAATAAGACGCAGTTATATCTAATGACATAATTGTTGAATGGCTGAATGGTTGGGAGTTATTGCTATTGATGGTATATTTTGTGTACCATCTTTGTGTATAAATACTCGCTGCTAGACCTCTGTACATGATTAACCTTTTCCACTCTTATATTCAATAGTCATCAATATAGCAGATCTACAATACATATCCATCTTCTTCACGTCAGACTTAAAGTGCTATCTTATATCCACCCAGGTTGACTGTTACGCCTATTGCAATAATTCTTAGACTTCTTATAACCTCGTTATCACAATAGGTTATGAGCCCCGGCTCATCACATAAGGAACAGTACAGAATAGCCATGAGTTACAAGAACAACAAGATCGTCTTGGAACCAGGCGTTTCCTTTGTCAGTTGGGAGAACGACCTGCAAGCCAAGCTAGCACGATGCAAAGTATTAGGCCATGTCTTTCATAACATCGAAGGCATAAAACCAATTTCAAAACTAACTCTCCCGACAAGCTTTGAAAGTGAAAACCATCGACTGAGAAGTGTCAGGACTTGGTGAATGACTATGAGGAAAAGTTGGCAACATGGAGGTATGGAGAGATAGAGGCACAAAATATAATAATGCAACACTTAGACGAGAAGATCCGGCCAAGGCATTATCGGCATTGTACAGCAAAGCAGTTATTTGATGAGGTGGCAAATAAATACTAAAATCGGGGATAAAGCTGAATCCTACTGCAACAAATTCATACAGAGCCTACATGATGTGAACAATGCGTCTGAGTTAATGATAGAAACCCCACAAACATCAACTGAAAAGACTGAAAATGAATTTGTAGTCTTGAAAGGATATGCAGCCACCATGTTTGTAGAAAGAACCATGGCAGTAAAGTGGCTGAGAAATTGGAGAGAAACACGAGCATACACTGACGGTAAAAATTACGCTTGGCTGGAGGATATGATGTCTACTCTCAGAGTGACAGTTGAGCAGAGATCTTTAAGGCCAAATCCAGTTGTAACCTCAGTCTCTAATAATAGCAGAATGGAACCAGGCCCAGATAATCCTTGTCGGAGATGTAGACAAAAAAATCTTGACAAAGATTGTTTTAAGCAACATCCTGAACTTCGGCAATAAAGAAAGGTTCAA